ATATATATATAGCTTCTGTATTGTGTTCATCAGACGAACACAATACAGAAGCTTGATGATGGCAGATGAGATTCTGCCGAAACGTTGCCACAACTTTAAAAACACAACTATAATGACGTGGGAAAATACCCGAACAAAGCTGAATACCATAAATGTAAGTACCCGCGGAAACTTAAGAAAACACACACACACACACACTTATATACTAAAAAAGAAAAGAAAGAACAACCAAATAAAAAGCAACACCAAACTTGAGAAAAGTAAGTATGTAAATTTTTATTAAAGAAAACAGATCAAAATGACAATACTTTGGGTCAAATTTAACACATCTAGAAGTTTCATGTATTTCTTGTACAAATATGTTCACATATAATACAGTAATTAATAGCAGCTAACAGTGTTAAATACTTAACACAAACTTTTAAAATCGCTACACAGAAAGTTTTAAATCCCATGCAAGTAAAATAACCTCATACATTCATTTTATTCCATAATTACCATGCCCAATTACAATTAAATACATCAAAACTTTAGAAAGGGATCCTGCTGAATACGAATCATCAATGTAAGTTAAAACACTTTTTAATTGAGTTTTGTGTGGTATCAGTTTCATGGCATTAATAAATATCAAAATATATACCTCTGTTTTACAATGTAGTACTGGCACATTTTGGAATACATGCCAGTTATAAATAATATCAGTAAGTCCCTAACAAATATGAATACAATTTATAACTAGGCAAACATTTGTAATGTAACCAAAAATGAATGAGAAAAAGTAATGCAGACATAAAACCTACTATTCATGGACATTTAAAACCCCAAAACCTTTACTTTTTTTTTACTTTCACCAGAACAAATTACTTTATGTTCTACTAGGAAAAACAATCTATAGTCAATCACATGGGAGACATGATTGGCTCTTAAGAAAATGAGTTTTGTCTAGAAATTCAGCAAATAAGGTCCATACAGTTTTGGACATCTCCAGTAGATGTAGCCTACTATGGAATAATGCTATACTTTGCTTCAACCTGGAATAATCTTCATTTTAAACCTTAATTGCAGTTTCCAACATGTCTCAGTGCACAGCTACAAGTTGAGAAGTGCTTGGATGCTTCATCACTTCAACGCTACTTGCAAAAGCTTGCTTTTAAGTGCATAATCAAGAGGGAAAATATCTGCACCAATTCACAATGGTTTGTCTATAACAGTCACACCTAGAAAAAGAGAGATGCAAGAGATCAATTCTTTGTATGGAACATTCCTAAATAATGTTGGAGAAAGATTTATTCACAAATGCTTCATATGCATGTAATACTTGTCACGAGTACCATCTTGCTAAAAACATTTTCTTCTAGAAGGGAACAGTATTTTCCGCATTTATTTTTCAATACCTGCATAACTTCTTCCTGTACTCATACATGATGATACAACTGTCCATTTATCTGTCACTGGGTTATAATATTCCACTGTGGCCAAGTTACAAGAGCCGTCATCTCCTCCAATCACGTACAACAGTCCATTCACAGCAGACACCCCTAATATGAAAAAGAAATAAAACGTCACTTGGTTGCTCACTAGCCAGGCAATATTTACTACCGTAGGTCAGTTTTAGAAGAAAAATTGGAGGAACAAAAAACAACTACAACAATGACAGTAAATTTTAAGTTTATATTCCACCTCATTCCCAGCACTTCAGGGTGGCTTACAGTTTACAGCGCAAAAACAGCACAAAAGAACAATGATGGGAAAGAAAACAAACCCAGAGGGAAATAAAAAAGGAAGAAATGGGCATCAATTGTGCTTGCCAAATAATAATCTCTGCTGTGCTGATGACACTTCTTTGATAACCAAAAATACAAAGGTTCTGGAAGATTTAGTAATAAAAATCAAGGTGCAAATATAAACATGAGACTACAAATAAATACAAAGACCAAATTATGACAACAGGTACAAGTGCCCAGCCTTAGAATTGAAAGTAAAGAACTGAAATAAGAGATAGCTTCTGCCTTTTAAGATGAACCAAAAACAGTAAAGGAACAGGCAGTCAAGAACCACACAAACAAATGGATCATTGAACAAATTAATTCAGACTTCTCACAAGAGCCATAAATGACCAGGCTCAAATGGGTTAAAATTCCATTAGGTTCATGTGGAAAGATTAACATTGCTAAAATGATTACTATTCCCTTTCTCCAATTGATTGATATTTAACAGCATTCTCATATTAATTTCAAGTAGATATTTTATTCAGATTGATAAACTATTGAACTATTGATAATATTTTAATGAAAGATTATCTTGGTTTGATTTTAACTGAATTTTAAATTTCAGATCCTCATTTACAGTTCTAATATTTTATACTGCATTTTATTCAATGTCTACAATCACCTTGCAGGAACTGCTGACACACTCCAGCCACATGAGGTCTAGCGTTGTCTTGCATTAGGAGGAACTCAGGGCCAATCGCACCAGCATATGGTCTCACAAGGGATCTGAGGATCTCATCTCGGTACCTAATGGCAGTCAGGCTACCTCTGGCGAGCACCTGGAGGGCTGTGCGGCCCCCTAAAAATATGCCACCCCACACCATTACTGACCCACTGCCAAACCGGTCATGGTGGAGGAGGTTGCAGGCAGAGAACGTTCTCCATGGCGTCTCCAGACCCTGTCACATCTATCACATGTGGTCAGTGTGAACCTGCTTTCATCTGTGAAGAGCACAGGGCGCCAGTGGTGAATTTGCCAATCTTGGTGTTCTCTGGCAAATGCAAAATGTCCTGCACGGTGTTAGGCTGTAAGCACAACCTCCACCTGTGGATGTCGGACCCTCATACCACCTTCATGGAGTCTGTTTCTGACCGTTTCAGCAGCCACATGCACATTTGTGGCCCACTGGAAGTCATTTTGCAGGGCTCTGGCAGTGCTCCTCCTGTCCTTCCTTGCACAAAGGTGGAGGTAGTGGTCCTGATGCTGGGTTGTTGCCCTCCTATGGCCTCTTCCATGTCTCCTGCTGTACTGGCCTGTCTCCTGGTAGCGCCTCCATGCTCTGGACACTACACTGACAGACAGCAAACCTTCTTGCCACAGCTCGCATTGATGTGCCATCCTGGATGAGCTGCACTATCTGAGCCACTTGTGTGGGTTGTAGACTCCATCTCATGCTACCACTAGAGTGAAAGCACCGCCAGCATTCAAAAGTGACCAAACCATCAGCCAGAAAGCATAGGAACTGAGAAGTGGTCTGTGGTCACCACCTGCAGAACCACTCCTTTATTGGGGATGTCTTGCTATCTGCCTATCCTTTCTACCTGTTGTCTATTCCATTTGCACAACAGCATGTGAAATTGATTGTCAATCAGTGTTGCTACCTAAGTGGACAGTTTGATTTCACAAAAATGTGAGTGACTTGGAGTTCCATTGTGTTGTTTAAGTGTTCCCTTTATTTTTTAGAGCAGTATATAAGTCTAAATGCTATTGCTATTTTGGTAATATAATTTAACAATTAAGTTATCCACTGGGCAAGTGTATAGTATGGTTTTTCAATCTAGTTTGTTCATAGCTTTCTGTGTAATTTTTGTAAAGAAAATTAAATTAAAACTATCCCTTGAATATATTTAAGAAGTGGCTTGAGTTCATGTTTGTAAGCATCTTGGAGTAATTTTAATGGAAAATGCCTAAGCAAGCAAATATGCATTGTTTACTTGAACAGTGTGCATATATTTATTAAATTTATCTAGTGTCACATCTCACATACATGACTCTGAGCACCTAACAATTAAGACAAATTAAAAACAAAACAGAAAATATGAACAATTTAAATATGATCAATTCAGTCTTGGTAGAACTATATCATAATTTTCTTTTTTTTCCTGCGTTCTGCTTATGTGCTAATCTTGAAACAGTAGAAAGCATTCTAGTTTTAAAATCGTTGCGAACTGCTATAACGTTGCCTGAATTAACATTAAGAAAACAAACCTCTACTTTGATGCCTTTGGCAACACCTTATAAAAGACTACTATTTGTCAGGCAAATTCCCTTGCCTTATTTATGATTGTACTGATTATTTTTAAAAATTGCATGAAAACTAGTGCTTTTTCAAATTGACTATTAAAAAGTTCTTTATGACTTCAAATAATTTACCTGCATTTCTCCTACACATGTTCATATCTGCAACTTGTTTCCATACGTTAATTGTGGGATCGTAAACTTCAACACTTTTTCTAACTAAAGGGCCATCGTGTCCTCCAACTGCATAGAGTAAGTTACCTAAAACCCCAACACCTGCAAAGAGAAAATAAAAAAGATTCAGAAATCAGAGAAAAGGGGCTATTGTTTTCTCAAATGCCATCAATTTTTTTTTTTAAAAAGTTATTGAGTAATGGAGTGAATTGCATCAACATTTTAATTGTTAAAAAGTTAGAGATCACATGACACAAAGCCCTTCTCCAAGATCTTAAATATAAAAATGCAAAAATTGCTGTTAGATTGTGATTTTTAAATGTGAAATATATTAAATAGATTTAATAATATTACCTATTATGGATTAGAAGTCTAGTGGTACCTTCTTACCTTAGAAATGTTATGAAAAGGCTTACGTTTTGGTGAGCTACAGCTAACGTCATCAGACGAATGAAGATGCTTTGATTGATATAGGATTTTAAACTGGGATGAAACAAAGTTTATCCCTTCAAATAGAAAAATGCACTGCATATTTTAGCCTTTGGAATGCAGGGGCTATGACCTTTATCCCTAAGCTGATGCTATAGTGCCACAAACCACATTCAAAAGAAAAGGGAGAGATCCGTCTCATTTAGTTGGTTAAGGCAACGTAACTCTGATGGCCAAAGTAGACTTCTATGGAATCTCTAAAATTTTGGTTGGAGACAGAAGGACATTTAAAAGTGTCAAAGGGGATAAACAGGGAAGAATCCCTTGGCAGGGATTTTTGTAGTTTGAAGCATTATAGCGGTGTTTGACCTAGAAAGTTAGATGTAAGAATTGTGCAGAGTTTTCTAGAGGATCAGGGTGGGCCCAGTCTCTAAGCCTGAAAAAGCCAATCTTAAAAGAGGTTTCTTTCTTCAATGATCTTTGTGGAATTATAACAATCAGCAGGGAAGAAGGGCTGTCCCTCAAGAATTATCTAGATCTTCAGGCAGAGGATGGAGAGAATGAATAAAAAAAAAAAAATCAGTCATCAGAAAGAGAAGTTGAACAGTGCATGTATTTTTTAAATTTATATTTATCCCAAATACGTGACTTGGACAGCTAACAGAAAATTAGCGGCCCAGAGCAGAAAATTAAAAAAAAGAGCATCTGGCAGAATGAACTGTAACTGCAGATTGGCAACAACAACACAGCCTTCCCTCCCAAAAACAGTATATGTCTGAACAATTGGCTAAAGGCGAAAAAAAGACATTTCTGTGTTGAAAAAAGTCATTGCTAGACATGGAACTGACAACTCTGTTTGTTTGACAGCTTCCCCCAACTTTGACCCTTTCAGTAATAGGCACTGGGAGTTAAAATATTAACTGATGAGAGGAAATGATTTTATTGTAACAATACTCTAGGCTTAAGTACATATAGAATATGCCATATATTTGAATTAATTGATGTGGTTTGGACAGGTTGGCACAAGTGCAAATACAGCCATTGTGTTGGGGTTTAAATTTCTTAATCTCAAAAGTTGCTGCCAAATTCTTTGCTCTCAGGCTGCTCCTACAATTAATATCTAGAGGTGATTAAATGAATTGTGTTACCTATTTTAAAATGAATGTTACTTTAAAATAGTCCAATTTAGCCTGGGTTTAGCCAGAACCAGGCATATCAAAAGTCTAATTTCTCCATCTGAATTGCAATGCTTTGGCTACTTAAACTGTATTTAATTCATGTACATCTGCAATGTAATTTGCTCTCAAGGCCTTTTGGTACACTCTATGAAAGAACTTACTAAAGAGCCAGTTTAGTGCAGCAGTTAATTCATCAGGCTAGAATCCAGAACACTTTGAATTCTAGTCCTACTTCCAAAATAACTTTGCTGTGAAAACTGCAGTGTCTGTCAGGGCACTAGCCAAAAGTTAAAAATGATTCAAAACAGACAGAAAAAGAGAGAGAAAGTAAGGGCAGGGAGAGGAAGAGGAAGGGAGAAAGAGAGAGAGAGAGAACGAAGAGGGAACGATTTTCTGTCACAAACATAATTTAAGTTCTTTGCTCACCAGCTCCACTACGTCGAGTACTCATTCCTGCAACATAGGTCCACTCATTTGAATTATAGTTATAGCATTCCACTGTGCTAAGGCACTGACGCGATGCACCATCATAGCCACCAACTGCATACAGCATACCTGGAAATAGGTTTAGGAGACATATGTGTGCAAATGTACACATACAGCATAGCTATACAAACACAAATCTATGGTGACAATCTATCTACTCACGAGATAGCATATTTAAAATATAAATATTTGGTTATTTGTATGGTTAATTTTAATTTTTTAAAAAGCAAAATTTCCCTTGTAAAATACCTAGGCAAGGCAGCTATGAAATTCTATTTATGTATCACAGCACAGGAATACTGTGAAAACTATTTACAGTTCTAATCATCATTCATAATACTGCAGACAGTTTTAATTTTCTAGAATCAAAATATAGACTTTAATTTTCTTTTATCGCCTCCTTCAATTTCAAGAAGAAAAGACCAAATTCTGTTTTTCCCTTCTTTTTAATAGACTAATATAAAAAGCTTTATTGCCAAACAGTTCCATAATTATTATAATTGTACGTTAAGATACAATAGCAATATTCAAATATACATAGGGCATTTTCAGTTGTTAGAGAATTAACACTATTTTGTATCAACAATCTTGTTTCTTCTAGTTTACATCTACATCTTTGAATGACAGTAAATGTTTACAGTTTATGTTGTAAAGACAAATGTACTCTTTTTACATTAATAATTTAGTTGGCATTATTATTACAAGTACAACATTTATTATTTTTTAAAAAAATAGACAAAGTATTGTGTTATTTAAATGGCTTTTGAAAGATATGATTTAAAGTATACATTATTATTCTGTTCATTCTATAAATCCTCTTCCCTATTTTATGGGTCAAATATTTTTATAGATGAAAGTAAAAATCTTAATCAGGCTATTCATTCAACAAGGAAGGAATATTTATAATGTAAATCATTAACACATTTCACAGCAGCAAATCTTTTTAGTTCTTTTTTTCCCCCCAATAAAGCCTTTTAGCTAAATAGGCATTTTTATAAAAGGAATCATTTTACTTTCTAGAATAAGCCAAGCAAATAGTGTCAGAGCCACAGCTCAAAAAAGAATAGGAAAGAAAGATGGAAAAGGAGAGCAGAAACAGTGAAGCAGAATTTCTGAGCCTTTCATTCAGAATAAAGTTGCAGTCTACCTTCAGAACATTATTAAGGTGCTTTAAAACAGGGGTCCCCAACTACAGGGCCGTGGACTGGTACCGGTCCATGGAACATTTCCTACCGGGCTGTCAGTTTGCTGGGCGCCGCCATCTTGTTTGACGAGAAAGTGCTTCCGGGCAAGCTTTTCCGGTTGAAAAGCGGCGTTTGGGTCCTGAAGGAATCCTCGCGCCTTAGTTTCATCGAAGGGGGGGGGGCTTCGAATGAAACTAAGGCGCGAGGATTCTTTCAGCACCCAAGGCAAGGCGAGCCAAGCGACCGCCCCGAAGCCGCCCCGAAGCGAAGCCCATCGACAAAAGTACAAAGGAGGAGTTGAAGGTGGCGGGGAGAAGCGGGGGACGGCTGGCTGGCCGGTCGCTCGGCTCGCCTTGCCTTGCCATGCGTGCTGATGCCAGTACCGGGCCGCGGATCATTTTGTGATGCCAGTACCGGGCCGTGGCACAAAAAAGTTGGGGGCCACTGCTTTAAAAGATGTGTTTTCTTTTAAACAGGCAGGGCCTTTAGGATTAGATGTCTTAAAAGTTGAACCATGCAGAGAGAAAAGTCAGGCTAAGAAATCTTACCTCCCATTACACCTACTCCAACGCTACTTCTCCTTGTGTTCATTGGAGCTACATGAAACCATTCATCAGTCTTCATATTATAAGCTTCTACTGAGGATAAACCTGTAATAAAACATAGAGAAACCTAATCAAATGAAGTATTACTGAATCTAGGGGTTGGATGTTGGGTTTTTTTTTTTTTTGCAGTAAGTAATAAGCATATTGTAGGAAGTTAGCACCCATCCCTCTCCTAGAAAACTGAAATATCCTAAGAAATATTAAAAAGGCAGCATATTTCCTCTAAAAAGAACAGAAACTCAGAAGCAGAAACTCACCCCTCACCTTTGTTAATGGGTGGGCCATTAAGGCCTGAGCCAGAATACTTTACATAACAAAAATCTCCAGGTAAAGCTACAGCAATTGCCAAAAGCCCTCTTAAGGGCATAAATCATCCAGCAAGGCTCAACCAAATCTGGAACTCAGGACAGCCTGCAGAGTTGCCCCTCCTGGGAGTCTGACAACCAATCAGAATACAAGCTCCAATTCAAATCCCAACAGAGGGTATAAAACCCAGGCACTCTCAACATCTCAGTCTCCTTTTTTGATCTCTTCCTTCATCTCTAAGCATGTGATGATCCTTCCCTTTCACTCTGGAGCTCCAGGCCACGTGGTCCTGATATTAAACCTTCTAAACAGCCTCCATGTTTCCAGTGTCTTTTTCCCCACTTGGAACTGAACCCAGAAGGATATTTCTCCCAACAATGTAAAGGCTTACCGTTACGTTACCATTACACATGACTGGCTAAATAAGCTGGCTAAAATACTCTGTATAAATACAAGTTCTTTGGGGCAGATTTTTTTCCCCTTCTGATGACTTCATAGACATATCTATGCAACCACACTGGTTTACCAATGCCTTCTTTTAGGATTATTTTGTTTGATTTTCCAAATTTAGCCTGCAGCCTTGGAATTCCTCCAATGATCTCCCATCCAAGTTTTAACCCTGATCCAATCTGGCTTGGCCTGAAGCCCAAAACTAAATGAGCTGGTAATGCCATCTGATAAAATAGCACACACACACACGTGTGTGTGTATGCTTGCATGTTCCTCCCCCGATATAAGATTCATCTCCAGTATGATTCCTCAGATGAAATGACACAAACGAGAAACAAGATATCCTCTGGAAAATAAGTTTTCCAAAGCTTTCTAAGTATCCTACTTCTAATGATTCACATTTAGCATTTCAGTATGTTTGATAACTGAATAATAATTTAATTTCTGTTCTGATCATTTCTGTTTTGAATTTAAGATGCCTAAATGCGTTCCGGGAAGGAGGGTGGGGGGAAAGATAACAAGAATGATTGCAACAAAAGCACTCATAAACTAGATGGCCTTATACCCGTGATGGTAAATCGATGGAACGCGTGCCACAGGTGGCACTCAGAGCGATTTGTGCCAGCCAAGCGAGCCGCAGGCAAACTTACCTCACTGCTCATGTGCGTGCCTCACAGCTGATTTTTGGCTGGTTTGAGGCCTTTTACGGCCTCCCAGAGGCTTGAAAAAAGTCTCTGCAGGCCGAATAGGCCCGTTTCATCACTTCCGGTATTATAGGAAGTGACGAAACGAAACTATTCGGCCTGCAGAGGCTTTTTTCAAGCCTCTGGGAGGCCGTAAAAGGCCTCAAACCAGCCAAAAATCAGCTGTGACGCGCAGTGCAGGCAAGGGGGCGGGGGAGATTGTGCACGCATGCACAGGGGCGTGGGGTGCACACCACATTCTGGGTGCAGCGTGCACACAATTTTTGGCACAGGAGCCCCAAAAGGTTGGTCACTACTGCCTTATACAAAGAAGAGCTTATGGTGATGATGTCACTCTATAAAAGTATATACCTGTACTCCCATCAAAACCTCCTACAGCATATAGAAGCCCATTTAATACGGCAGCGCCCAGAGTGCTTCTTCTGTCTTGCATGCTAGCAATGCTTGTCCACTTGTTTTTTACTGGATCGTAAGACTCCACAGTACGAACCCTCAAGGAGCCATTGAAGCCACCAACAGCAAAGACAAGGCCATTCATGTGTACAACTCCTAGGGGGACAAAAAATAGAGTCCTGTTCTAGTAGAAGAGTCTTTTCATACATCATGACTGCCAGACCATATTTTAAAAAAGAGGAAATAGCTCTTCTTCTTATTCCATTTTACTTTACTCTTTTTTTAAAAAAAAATCATACTCTTTTATCTTTACTTTATCTTGCCTGCTATATTTTATTCTACTTTTTAATCTCACTGTAGCTACTTTGCCTCTATTTCACTCCATCGTATTTTATTGCATTTTACAGTGGCTGATGCTCATGTTTGAGATGGTCAATTGACTAATCAATAAAACACATTACATCATATAATAAAAAGGAAAGAGCTGGCCTAGATTTAAAGCTTGCAATTTAAAAGGGTTGGCGTACCTGCCCTGCATCTTCTGGAAGGCAGTTCAGCCACTTGGTGCCATCGCTGTTCTTTAAAATCATAACACTCCACACTGCGGATAGCCTTTGGTGCTTGCCCTCCTACCACTACCATCACCTTTAACAGATGCAACATCATAAACTTAGATACGCATTAAATGGGGGAAAGGAATCTGAACAATCTCTGAAAATGAACAAAAAAAAATCCTATCCACAGTACTATTCCATTTCGCGGACTGGCAGTACTCAGGATGGCCTCAAAAGGCTCAAGTAAACCCCTGCAGATATGAATATGGTGCAATCCTTTCTGACTTGCCCTTGAGAAAAAAAAAAAGACATGCTATACCCAAAGAATCTCCACTAATGAAAAAAATGAGAGTATACCTTCCTTTTCCTACATAGCAGTCATCTTAGTTAAGAGAGCCATTTCTTTATGAATTGTAACTCTATTTAAGTCTGTTTAATGGCACACGATAGTTTTCAAATTTTCTTAAATAAAAGGTAAAGTCCTAGGTTAACAAGAATGTAGACACAGCTCAACAACATTTTGTATGCAGCTGAGTGCAAACGAGACTCTCTGCCTGCTTTATTCATTTTACTAGATGGATTTAAGCATGCTTTAACTGAACAGGAAATTAAGACTTATTGACATAATGGCTTTTCCAACCCTATAATTCTCTATTTTATTTCAATTATTCCAATTATATGCATATTTTAAAATAAAAAAAGAGACCCTGACTTAAATCACATACATTTTTTCACACAACGCAAGGCAATTCAAAAAGGAAGTATATATAAGTGCATGCTTACCTTTGGAAGACAGGAAGGTGTTCTTAACCTTGTTCGTGTGGACTTAAACAATGTTCTTTGCTCAAGTGGCAACAAATGGTACTTCATTGCTTCAATTAGGTAATCTTTACATGCACTGCTATTTTTAACAAGTATCTCTTCTTCAACTCTCTGTGAATTAGCCATATTGATGCAATCTTAGCAAGAAAGAACACACTGACTAATTTGCATGAATGTAGCTTTCATGTAATTAGTTTTGAATTGGTTCAGTGAAAACTTCAAAATAATTGTTTTTCCAACAATTATTGCTAAATGAAAACAAACCAGAGATAATGACAACCTAATCTAGATATCTTTTTATTTGTGAAGAAAGGAAGAGGAGATGGGGAGAGGAGGTAGGGAAAGAAAAAACGACAGCAGAGGGAGGAAGGAAGGAAGGAAGGAAGGAAGGAAGGAAGGAAGGAAGGAAGGAAGGAAGGAAAGAAAGGTTTCCAACACTCATTGTCAAGTTCCCACAAAGAAATTAAATGGGGAAGCCAATAGGAAATTGGAAGTTGCTTCCCTCTCACTGATTTTTTAATCACATATGGTCATTTTGCTTCTCTGTTTCGATAAGGAGGTATCTACGAAATGATGTTCCAACAAGGCACAAGTTGCCTAGTACAGGAGTCGCCAACCTTTTGGATCTCAGGGACCACAAAACTCATAATTTTAAATCCTGCGGGCCAGGGATCCTGGGAAAATCCTCCCCCCCTTTTTCCTACCAATCGATCATTCTTTATTTAGGATCGCAGGATACCGTTTCCAGCTCTGTTCTTGGGGGGAGGGAGAGAGAGAGAGAGAGAGACTTTTGGTTTCATGCAAGGAAAGCAGAAGCAAATTCCCCCAAATTCTGCCAAAAACGAGTCTTTGTGAGACTTGTCGCGCTGGCGCAGCCTCTTGGAGCAGGATGCCCTGCAGAGTCCCAAAGACTCATTTCTGGTGGAGTTTGGGGAAGAGAAAGAAAGACTTTTGCTGCTTTCCTTGTGTGCAGCCAAAAGCAGAAGAAGAAAGAAGTGGAAACAGCCCAGTGGTCAGGCAAGGTGCTTCCCCCCCTCCCTCACTAGCTTGTGTTGTTCGCAATGCAAGCGATGCAAGCCTAGTGTTCCCACAGGCCATGTGGGTGGCGCAGCCTTGTGTTCCCGTGTAGCCTGGATTAATTGCTTTGGGGAGTGTTTTGGGGTGACATTTCTCTACGGACCATCCACTTTTTCTCACGGGCCACCAGTGGTCCCCGGCCCACTGGTTGGCAACCGCTGACCTAGTATGATTATAAAGGTTGATCCAACTTTTATAGAAAGCATCGATTTGGGGGGATTGTATTATCCGGAATGGGCCAACTCATTGTGGCCAATTTGCTCCGAGACAACTTGCTATGGCACAATTCAACAAATAGAAAAGTTACATTTTTAATAGAACCGTGGCCAATAACAATAAAATAAAGTTGATTGAGAAATACAAGAATATTATCTAGTATCAATGAAAATATGGTCACCAATAGTAAAAGTAACTGAATGAAATGATTAATACAACAATTGAATTGTTGTGTGGCAAGTTGGCTAGGATGAGTTTGTTTGCGGCCAGTTGGCCTCGACCCTTTGTTACGTTTACTCAATTATATAAGATTTAATCTTGCAGTATGACAAGGGAATAAAATACCATGAATGAAATGCCTCCAGTTAATTACCTGGACCAAATAGTCTTTTGACAGCAAAGGTAATCGAACGTGTTCCATCAGACGTGCCATGAGTTCTTGCCTCACATTTTTGTCATAGTTAACCCAAGCAATCACTGCTTCAAATACCTTATGTAAAATAAAGACACATTTTGAGTTCTGCATATAGTTTGCTGGACAGATACAAGAACTCTAATATTTTGCTCATTTTAGAATTCAGATTGAAAGAGAGGGGGAACATTTCCAACAACAGAAAGCTAGAACTGCCTTGTCTAATTCTTCATTGTCTCCACCCATTCATCTCTTAGAAGTGAAGACATATTGGTTATATAAAGATTTAACTTATCTAGACCAGATTAATAAGTTTTAAAACGTAACAATAACTAGCCAGTTCTGGCATTACAAAGAACAATACATCTAATTTCTTTTCCCCCTATGTATTCTTTTTCTGAATTAGCTGGAACTAGGGTTTCCTATCAGTATTTATATTTTTAAACTCTGTTATCTATTTAGCAGTGTTTGTACAATTATATACAGTTTGACTCTGATTATTTTTTTCACAATTGGTTTACCTGAAGGAGATAAATATTAGAACCTCCATCAGCTTATTAATAGTTGGAGGTAATTGGTTAATAGTTGGGTCTCCTGCATTATCACCAACTATATAATAATATAGATAAAAGAGTTTAAAAGTATAAATATTGATAGGAAACCCTAGTTCCACCTAATTTTTGTGTTTCAAAGATTTTTGCTTTGGCAGCCACAATTGGAAAAAAAAATCTGAATAGACTGGAGTGAAAGGGAAAAAAAACATTCAAAGATCTTTCTCCTATATCCTCATATCAAAGTATATTGTAAATGGATAAATATTTGAACAATGGTCCTTTTAATCTGGTTCCAAGATTTTCATTTGCATTAAAATATTTCTAAGCCAAAGTTGGACACTTCTGACTTTACTGAAATTGTTCTTATATTGGAATGTTTTTGGCAAAACAAAAAACAAAAAACCACACAGCATCTGAGTAATCAGATCAAAAAACAACAGAACACTCAATTTCAATTTCAAATTTTAAAGATTAGCATTTAAAAAAGATTGCACACCTCTACATGATTACATATCACAATGTCTAAATAAGGAAGACATTACCTTTTCTTCTGAAGCTACTGTTAGTTTGTCACTGGATATTAAGCTGCACACCTGTTCTACACCAAGACTGAGAAATTCATCACCTAATACAACCTCAGTAAAGTGCTGTTCTATTTCAAGAAAAAAAATGTAAACATATAAATTGCAGCAACAGCATGAAGGAGGCATTTTATCCTTACAGAGATTCAGGAAATACAAAAATGAAAGTTTTCTTTCTAATTATGATTGCTAGAATATAGAGCTCATGTCTATGAAAGAATAATGTCACTTAAAACGTGGAAATCTCATTTATAAAGCCAATTGGACTTATTATGTATTACATCTTTCAAAAGGACGGTCTAATTATCAGTCTTATTTTTCAAATGTAGTGGCCTTATTTTAGAAATTATGTTGGTAGTTGCATACAAACAGAATTTCTAAAATAAGGCCGCTACATTTGAAAAATAAGACTGATAATTAGACCGTCCTTTTGAAAGATGTAATACATAATAAGTTTCAAAGACTAAAATCATGGCAGTGATTAGATAAATCTTATTTTATATATAGGGTGTCCCACAGTCTTAGTACAGAACTATATTAAGACTTTTAGAACACCCTATCTTTTTTGTTTCAGCACAATTGAGGATGTTATATACATCAAGAGCATATACAAACAAATATCAGCGAACATGATAGATGAATTCTACATTAATAGTCAGTGGGATTAACAATTTAATCATGGGTACTGGAGGGTTATGTTTGATGGGTTTGTTTTTGTAAGCCACTCATAATCACCTGCATGTGGTGGATAGCTATAAAATCATATCAATTTATAAAATAAATGAATAAGGCATTAACATTATTTGAGAGGCAGTTTGGCCTAGTAGTTAAAGCACTAGGCTAGAAAGTGGAAGATTGTGAGTTCAAGTCCCGCCTTAAGTCATGAAAGCCAAGCGGGTGACTTTGGGCTAGTCACTCTCTCTTAGCCTAACCTATGTCACAGAATTCTGGTTCTGGTGAAGAAAATAGGAGGAGGAAGGGGTGTTAGATATGTTTGCCACCTTGTATTTGTAAAGGTTAATTGTAAAAACAATAAAGGCATAATATAAACAAACAAACAAACATTAGACTATGGGATTGCAAAATAACCATATCCAATAAAACAGATCTTCCAATTCTGAAAAATCATACAAGAAATTATACAAACAAAATAAAGCTGATCACATATGATAGTGCTTAAAAACTACTTTCCTCAATAAATACTGTAAAATAGGTTTCAGAATTTGTTGAGGAATAGTTCATGTTTCAGATCATATTTACGCATCAACATTGAACATTCAAAAGTGTTCACAAGCTTATGAGCACCATTCCAAAGGTTGCTAGTTGATGTACAATGGTTTCAAATCATTATTTAAAACAAAGAAAGGAAAGGAGCTTGACAGATATCCGGTGGAAAAGAATTCCACAATTCACCCTATTTCTGGTATTTGGGCATATATGCCAATAAATATGTAGCTAAAATAGTGCTTCCATGTATGTAGGAGATATGGAAACACGGCGCAACTCTTTATTTTTTGGTTAAAAAAAAATCTGGGAACGAACCAATTCGAAGAAGCAAGAATGGAGTATGCTGACTATTAGGGAGGATGCAGTGTTGCTAATTATCATTCTTGTCTGCTAGTTCAAGAAAATACCCACAAAGGCAGAGGATTATGTGGGTACTGGCCCAAACATGCTTCGCATAATCTGGGTGGGGTTACTTAAACTGGGCCAGGGCAACCTCCCATTGCGGCAGAACTAAAGGCTTATGTGCCAAATTGCATAATTGGTGACAACCTATATTAGAAGAGAGCACAATTTGCTGAATCTCATTTTTATAATAATGCCTCAAATTGCTATGCAATATTTCCTCAAAGGAAAGACATTAACACCCAATCCATAACTGGAAATATTACTACATAAAGTACTCCATGCCTGAACATTTTGTAATCTGTAAAATTAACATATGAAATAAAGTGTATTGAAATTGTTTTCCATAAGGTGAACTCCGTAGATGCACTCGTACATACATGGTTACAGGGGCTGGGATTCAACCGGTGTTACTACCGGTTCGGTCAGAGTGTGTTTTGTGCGTGCTGTGCGTGTGTGTAAAGCAATTGCAAAAAACATCAGCTGTGCCACCCGGATAGCTGACAAGCGCTGCGCGCAGGTGCACAGTGTTTGAAAATCCTCTTCTTTCCTGCTTTTTCAACCTCAGCTGTGCTGCACAAAGCAGCTGAGGTTGAAAAAGCAGGAAATAAAGGACAGGTAAGAGCCCAGGTGGGCAAGTGGCCCAAACAAATGACCAAAAGGTCATTGCACCGAATCGGTTTGGTGTCTGGTGCTCTTCAGAACTACCGGTTCTATAGAACCGGGCCAAACCAGTAACATACCACCCCTGCATGGTTAATACAAGGGGAATAATTCTTAATACAGGCCCTTGACAGTACAATGCAGAAGAGTATTTCTCAGAAATGGTAGCTGGGCAGGTAAAAATTTAGTTGCATTTGCTGTATTATCACTATTATAGCTGAAGCATTCTGGGAAACTAAATCACTGTCTATTGAATTGCCACAATAACAATAATTCTTTTCTTTATTCTGGAAAAAATGAATCCAACAATTGTATTACTACATTAATATTCCGAGAAAGGGAAAAGGTGTCAGTTGTCAAAGATTTAATACTGCTTTGTTTAAATATCTATTTTAATCATAAAATTTAGCTTTTGAAATTTATTCAACCTCTTGGCAGCTTTGCTAATATCAAATCATAAAACAGTTTTGGTTTGTTATCTTTACAACTTTAATTTCTCTGTTTAATTTACGTTCTTTTTCATGTGAGCAATATGGAAGGGCTTCTCCAATGTTAAAAATAATACCACAATCCTAATTTTTAGAATCGAACCTCCACTTGCCTGTGTATGTGTTGGCCTTATTCAGAAGCTCAATGCAGGCATGCATATCAGCAAATGCTTGAATACCCAAACAGTTGGTAGGGTGAAGCTGAATTTCCAAAAAATCACAGCAACCTTTTTTTACATCCTGCAGCTGCAACAAACTAGCTGCTGGGAGTAGTACCTACAATAACCAAAATTAAAGAAGTCAGTATCATCAAGAAAGGTAAAACGAAAAAGGAACTTCTAAGTCTAAGGCAGCCTGTAAGGGGTTAAATAATTATGTAACTGATAGGTAAATTCTTACCATGCTTCAGTCTTAATTCTGTTTTGAACCCTTACCCATCATGGGTAGGGATGAAGAGTTGACCAAACAGGACAGCAGTAACACGACTATTTCTTTAAATTTTAGGCTGTGTGTTGACTATTGAATCAGGAATTGATCAGGATATACATGACATCCATGTACAGGTGCTTTGCTTCTCTATAATTTCTTCATTTTAGTGAGTAGGGATGCAGTCTAGATAGGGGTGTTAAAATGGTGGCCCACAGGCCAGATCCGTCACGTCCACGCCTACCTCAGCTCCACGAAAGGGAAAAACATAGCGGAACATCAGGTGATGGAAACGTGAAACGGTAAGTTTGACACCTGTGGTCTAGGAAATTGCTTGCATAGCATACTTAACACTTATCAAAGAAGGTTAGGATTGGGAAGTCACATTTAAGTTATAGTTTCATATATTATTTCATTTGGAAAAATTCATTTTGTAGTGCTTGCAAAACACTGCAGTGGGTTTTATCTGTTTGTTTTATATTTATTAAACATATGATTTAATAATCAAATGAGGTGATTATGGGCAGCTTACAATCATTGTTACCTGAGAAATGACCTATACTGTTCATTGGACCAGGGGTGGGCTTCACATTTTTTAGCAAGGGGTTCTCTGCCCTAATGACTGGCTAGGTGATCATGTGATTGGGTAGTCATGTGATCGGGTGGTCATGTGACTGGGTGGGAGTGGCTAACTCGACCTGGCTTCTTTGCCCTAATTACCTCAAAAAAGATATACACCAACAAGTTGTTTATTATTTTGTGCATTTAATTTAATACTTAAATAAAAGACTAGGTGAAATCAGGCTTAATAGCAATGACTGTCAGAAGGATCTTGGTGTCTTAGTGGACAACCAGCTAAATATGAGTCACTAGTGTGCAGAGGTAGCCAAAAAACCAATGCAATCCTAAGTTGCATTAACAGAGGAATACAATCAAGAGAGGGGTGGCATTCAAATTTTTTAACAACCGGTTCTGTGGGCGCTTATGCACTCTCCCTACAGACCTCTTAGGAAAGGGGTGAGATCAATAGTAGACAGTCTAAGGTTAAAGTTTTTGGGGTTTGGGGAAAAAAACCACAGAGTCAGGTCAGACATTGACCACTCTGTGGCTGAAGTCCTATTTACTGCAATCAAGCTTGGTGCGATTAACCTTAAGTTTGTATCTACTGTTTGCTCTTGTGTTGTTATGGTTGAAGCTGAAGTATTCATTGACAGGTAGGACATTGCAATGTATGATTTTATATACCATACTTAGATCAGACCGAAGACGGCATAATTGTAGGTTTTCTAGGTCTAGAATTTCGAGTCTGGTGGCATAAGGTATTCTGCAACGAGTAGAGGAATGGAGAATTCTTCCTGTGAAATATCTCTGGACTTTCTCAACTGTGTTAATATCAGATACATAATGTGGGTTCCAGACTGATAAGCTGTATTTGAGTATTGGTCTAGCAAACGTTTTGTATGCTCTAGTTCTTAGTGTAATATTACCAGAGAAAAAGCTACGTAAGAGAAAAAGCTACGTAACAACTCTTGACGCCATTTTGGCTATGTAGTTACAGTGGGCTCTAGTAACTCTGGAAATATAAGAGAAAATAGAAAAAAATGAGGAGATAGAGCTGATAAAACAACAAATGCATCAAAAAGACAAGGAGAAGGCAGAGATAATTAAAATGGATGAAATAGACAAAGCAGACTATGCATTAAGAGCTCAAAAAATAGAATTGGATAAACTAAAAGATATTCCAGAAGTGGGGATAGAGACACTGATGGATGTAGTGAAGGTTTGGCAGCAAGAGATAGAGGTAGAGATACAGGGAATATTTACATTAAATATGAATAATGTATGGAGATATAAAATACCAAGGAAGGAGTATGGAAAGCATGCCAAAAAATCAATAAGAATTGAAATACTAAAATGACCAAGAGATGACGGATAAAAATAGAATACTTATTAATATAAGATTTGTATTAAGAAGACTTAGAGGTAGAAATTAGAAAGAGGGAAAATACTGATACGTATATTCTTATATAATATTTTGAAACTAATATTAGATGACTAGATCAGAGGTTGAAAGATGATGGTATTATGTATACTTCAATAGTGTCACTATCAGTAATGTGTATTAAAATGCTGAATAATTAAATGATGAAGGATTATATACATGGTGGAGTAAATACTACAATACTAACAACTTTAATTGTAATATTTATAATGTTACTATAATGATAGGAATATTATTAATGTATTTTATACAAAATCCCATGGGAAATATTCCAAATATCAACAAGAAGTGAAATATTAAAACAGACAAGAGATGATGGATAGAATTAGAATATCTACTAATATAAGATTTATGATATTAAGATTTAGAATAGAAGTAGAAATTAGAAAGGGGGGAAAATATTATGCATATTTCTATATAATATTCTAAAATCAGTATGTAAAAGAAAGGATCAGAAGTTGAAAGATGAGTATATTATGTATAATGTTATTATAATGATGTGAGGACGATTAATGTAACCAAGATTACTAAAATTGTCAATATTATTACTATTATTTGGTATCAAAACTAAGGATACCCAGATGCCATACTGTTCATACATACTGTGGTTACTGTTTTGCCAAGCTGGCTTATTGGCTTGCTGGCCCTGATTGCTGTGTGGCTAACCTGGCTTATTGGACTACTTGCAGTCAGAGGCTTCTGAAAGTGCGTGTGAGAGCTTTGCTTCAGGACTTGTAGTGAAAGTGGGGGTGTTTGAGGATGTTTGGGGGCACAGTTGGATCAATAAAGGGAAGTTAGACCTGTTTTCTGGTTGTGTTGCTTTCGTGCCACGTCCCGGGTCATCACTGCTACTTTCACATCCTCCCCAACTTGAACCACACCCCATTATAACCTCATACTCCATCCCTGGCCTATAGCATACCTCTCACATACCCACCGCAACCCACATTATGCCTCTCACACAGGCCCACACTCTTGTGAATGCTCCCTGACCTGCACTTCTCATGCACTCTCTCCAATCCATGCCACAGTCTCGCATTCTCACAACCCTTCCCTTAACCTCCCTTGTGATGTCCCACACCGTCTCCACATCTCCCTTGCACACTTTCATTCCCTCTTGCAGTTGTCAGCAGCCACTTACATGGCAACCTGTATTTACAAATTGCTTCAAATTCCCCGCTGAATTTGGTTGCTTTGGAAGCTGGTCGGAAGTTTTGTTACCTAATAACCATAGGTTAATGTTCTGACCCAAGTCCTGTTCAAATCAAACAAACCCAAAGTATGTATAAAAGCAAACCTTTTTAATGCGGAGTTGTGAATTCTCTTCATTCACAGCCAAGAGTCATTCAAAACGAATAAGTGCAAGCCCTTTCAAAGTTGCTAAAGGCTGCCAAGTACAAAAGACTAATTGCAGATAAATATCCAAAGCCAGAAGTTTTAAAAAACAAATTGAAATAAACAGGGCTTCAACGAGGACTCTGAATAGAAAAAAATTTCTTTGCTTCCTGCAAAGAAGCCAACCCCAAAGGCTGGCTTTTATCCCTTATGGGAGGGGCCATCACCTTCCAGCCTTACTGCCGAGTCGCCCGTACTGAGCAGCCCTGCGCGCACACGCACTGAGCAGAGGCTTCCCGGTCCCTCTTCATCTGCTGCCAAACTCCACAACCTCCGAAGGCAGCACCCCACTCTCCGATAGTCCTGGCCCCATCCCTGCATCACACGCAGGCTCCTTGTCCGAGTCCTCGCTGTCAGAGACCTCAGCCGTCCACATCTGCTGCCAGCGAACCACAACAGTTAATTACAGTAACCAGGACTTTGGGACCGCTGAGCCATGCACTAAGTAATGCAGACAACTTAGAGACTTACATTCTTGTCCCAATTCTGCCATAAATCGAGGACTATCTGTACCAAAAAAACAATGCTCCCCCAGTTCCCGATCTCTAGAGCCAATCCAGAAGTTGATGCTATCAAAAGTTGCTGAAAAATCAAAGAGTACAAGAATGGTTATGCTACCTCCCTCTTGTCAATGCCTTAGATTATCTACAAGAACTTCTATTCTAAATCCCAGACTGAAAACCAGATTGAAATTGCAGGTAGATGTATACTAAAAGCATGTTGTGAGAGCAACTCTATTTTGACAGAAGATCCTTTTGGATGAGATGGGAACATGTCAAAGCACCTATGTGATTGATTCCCAGCAGTGGTGGGATAGTAAAAATTTTCTACTATCGGTTCTGTGGGCGTGGCTTGGTGGGCGTAGCTTGGCTTGGCGGGCATGACAGGGGAAGTATACTGCAAAATCCCCCTTCCCTCCCCACCCCACTAACCTGGTTTCCAACTCCGTTCTGCTGTGCAGGGCAACAAAAGAAGACCCAGCCGATCAGCTGGGACTCGGGAGGCAGAGAATAGATGGGGGGAAGGTGAGTTAGAGGGGGTATTTGCATTGGTTGTCCAGAACTGGTCAGAACCTGCTGAATACCACCTCTGATTCCCAGGTTCCTTATACTGTATGCTTTACCTTTCATAATTTATGGTAAAGACTCCAGTTGAATTGTTGAATTGAAATAATATTGAAAGAGAAAGCAGGCCATAAGTTCTAAATTTTTCTGCTTTTTCTAAAAAGCCCTTCTATGTCTGTAGACGCTTTATGAAGAGCAATATATCAGTATGGTGGGAAGAAAGAAAAAATCAGAAATCTGGTAACACCTTTTACCCTTATCTTGCCCCAATTTAAATCTTATATCAGTTTAGCCACTCTGTGAGCTATGGCTCACAACAGCTTATGCCTTTTAATAAAAGTTGTAAACTGGAAAAGATGCTCTAACACTGTCCCCAGACAACTTAAATTCCTCAAAATGCAAGTGAAGTGTGGGTCATTAATAAATAGTGCTCTGTATATGTTTTAGATAGTGCTACTATGGGCACTGGGACATTTAATGGTTTGCTGCTGCTGAACAAGGAGCATTTTAAATATATCTACCTACTACTGCTATGTCTATAAATTACATTTGAATGTCAACTGTTAATTTTAGTTAATTTAAATTTCATGTTCTAGTAAACCTCAGGGTGTAACAATTTGTTTCTAAAACCATTTACCTCTGAAACAAATGTTAACAGCCTTTTGGTGTGAAATGCTGTGTTGTACAGATGTCAGTTCGTATTTTTAGCTTTCTTTATGCCACCCACCCATTACAGCTGTTTATGTTGACTCACATGTCCTTGAAAGACATTCACAAGCATAATTGCATGAATTTTTGCTTGAAGCATCTCCTTATCTTTGCATCAGTTCAACAAATCTGACAGGTTTCTTTTTAATCTAGTCGTGTAGGAAAGAATGAATTAGAATCCTTACTAACCAGTTCAAGTTCTCTATGTTGTGTTTATGTTAAAATGAGAAAAAAATGTTACATTCAATTGTTCAAATATGGTTTAGAAAGACTTCTGACAGTAGAAAGCCATAAAAAGTTTAATACAAGGAAAAAACGAAGTTGTCTTAAGCTAATGGAAGCCAACAAAAGTGCTTCATTATTATGAAGGCCTTATATGTGATGCTATGCTATGATAATCTTTCATAAATCTGCTGGAATTTCTGATCCTGTAGGTGTTCTGTCCCCTAGATAAGTAAGTTATATATTTTCTGAATCTATCAATATTGGACCCCAAATACAGTAATAAAGAGACTGTCAGTGACATTCCTGGGTATCATGCCATAAAATGTTAGAGTAATATTGAACAAAGATTTACAAAGCATGTAGTGGCTCCTTGTTTTAAGGGGAAAAAACTGCTTAATTTGATAGCTGATTACTGTTTTTTTAATATATCTATTACAGTAGCTATTCTCAAAGCAAAATAAGTGTGAAATTGTAAACTATCAGAGGGGCAGCCAAAGAAATAATAAATACCCAATGTATCAAACTCTAGTGAAGATTACAAGGCCCTCATTTTAAAATTCTAGTTGCAATTTTCTATTCTATTCACATCCAAACACATTTTGTTACCTAGTCCTGTCTATCTGAAAGATGTTTGATGGTCCAATGCAGAAGCGAGCTGCTGGCGACTCGTAGGGACTCAGGTGAAACCCTAGCTAAGACTATGGGGCTTGGCAAGCCCCCAAATCCCACTCCTGGCTGGAGAACGCAGAGAAAGTCGCCTTTCTCTGCGTTTGATTGTGGCATTTGTTGATGGTAGAAAGTACCGGAATGGCGACCGACAAAAAAGGCGATTGCTACCGGACTGTTCGTCATCCGCCATACTGTTGTTACAAGCGTAGTGTGCATGAAGTCGGTGTAGCTTAGCCTAGCACCGAATGTCAGCCAAGAAGATGAACGGCGGGCGGGACTTCCTTCAGAGGTCCATTCCCCCTGCGGGCCGCACTAATATTATACTTTCATATCACGGTGGGGGCCACAGGATATTGTCCTGCAGGCTGCAATTGGCCCATGGGCCACGAGAATGGGACCTCTGATCCACAAGGTCCCTTCCAACACTGTTAAAGCTTCTGTTAGAGATTCCAGGTACTAGAATGCCTGACAATTGCTACTCCACACATCTAGAGATCACCATGGCACAGGCAACTGTTGCATATAATATTTATACTCTGGAGAGATCAGAAAAAGGTTGAAACAGCATAAACATCTTAAATGGCAATTTAAGATTTTTTTTGTAGTAAGTGACTGGCAACATCTTTCAGTAAAAGCTTCTGTTATGATTACACTCTACTTTTTTTAGTATCTTAATGGCCTTTACTAAGGCTGGGCAAAGCATTCTAATCTCTCAAAATATGTTAGCCTAAGTGAAGCATTCCTCCTTGAGGTGATAAAACATCACATTCTCTTGAAGGCTTTCATAAATGCTGCAAATGAAGTCTCTACTTATCAGGCAATGCTTCCGCAGGGACTGCCACTAAAACCAAGCAGCTAAGCTTGCCCAAACATACAACTAGAAATTGTGCTTTCACTTCAACAGTCACAGCCGGCCTGTTGTTTGATACAGGTGCCTTCCTTGAATCATTCAAAATGCAATTGTGTTTTAATATTTTCAGGTCAGAGCTTTTTTGAGTAGATAAACGGGTACCACTGCGGTGGGAAAGTAACAGTGCTCCGTGACGTCATGGTGGGCCCATGACTGCAGGCATGTCTTCGGACAGACTTAGCTCAATGGCCCTGAAACGGAGATGAGCACCGCCCCCCTACAGACTAGTGGAGTAAAATCCACAGGGACTCCTTTTCACTTTCCATTTGACCAAAAACAATGATTTGTGAGAGGAAGAGAAGGATATGTTGTTTCTTTTCTTGTCATATTTTGGTCTTATAATATTAGGCAACACAATATCAAAAGTAGAGACTTTCAAGTGTTTAGTTTCTATATTAGAAATTGTGGTTTATTATATAGAAATGGTGGCAGAGGATGGCGAATTCCCTTGTGGTTTGGTTTCTTCTATCATCCCCTTTGAATAGTCTTTTCTCAGTTAATTTCTTTACTATATCAGGACTTCTTGAGTCCAAGTCGTCTGTGCCACGTGTGATGGCAATTTGGCAGTATTAACCACCTGACTGCAGTTCAGCTGATACAATTCGCCTTGTAATTTTAGCCTTTGCCTTTATACATTGCCACGTAACCTTCCTTATTAGTAGCAAGACTGGTAGTTCTGGTTTGTCAAATTCGCAAATGAAAAGTTTGTTTCAGCTGTGTTACTGGCCATTTTCTTTCATCTTGTTGCCGTCTTCTTTCTGTGGTTGTACCTTGCACTTATTTACTGTAGCTGGCTACGACTTGGCTGGCTCACTGCTGAACTTTATATTTCTCGTCTAATCTGGTCTTATACTGGGTACATCTCTGATTGATCTGGGCTAAAGCTGATTTAATCTGGGTCCATAACCTATTAGAAATTATGTTGTATTATATAGAAATTGTAGCTGAGGATTATTATATAGGCATACGAATTGATAGCAGAGGATGGTTACATAGCCATACAGTGTGCAGTCACCATGGACTTTGCTGCTTAATGGTTTCGACCATTACAAGAAATATAAAGGAACTGTAGATTATAACTATAGATGCAAACTAAACAGTACCATCTACTGGCTGAATAATTCTGTAGTTGTTGCAATACAAAATATATTATAACATGTATTCCAACATTCTATAATCTCCCAGGGCTTGAAATGGACACCACATTAAAAACATCATTAAAAAGGCACAACAAAGAATGTTCTTCTTGTGTCAACTCAGAAAGCTCAGACTACCTGAGGAAATGCTGATACAGTTCTGCAGAGGAATTATTGAATCTGTCATTTGCACTTCTATAATTGTCTAGTTTGGTACAGCAACTAAAGAAGACAGGTACAGTCTTCAGTGGATAATTAGGACTGCAGAGAAAACAACTGCAACCAGCTTGACTTCCATTGAGGATCTATATACTACATGAGCCAGAAAGAGGGCTAAGGAAATATCTGTGGACCGCTCACACCTGGACATAAAACTGTTTCAATTTCTTCCCTCAGGATGCTGCTATAGGGCATTGCATGTCAAAACAACTAGACATAAAAACAGTTTTTCTCCCATGCCATCATTCCGCTAAACATCTAATTTCCACATCACTATCTTATGCCTAAACATATTTACCCATGTGGTAGGACTGTATTACTTTTATCTTTCTCATCTTTCCTATTACTTTCTCCTACTGATATCTTATATCACTGTTGTTTGTTTCTACACTGAGAGCTTATGCACAAGAAACAAGGGTCCAATCACATTTGGCCAATAAAGAATAAAGAATATTGAGTTTAGGAGACAATGTCAAACCTCAGGAAATTCCTACTTTGGGAACCATTTACATGGTTTGCATTCCAAATAACATCTACTTGCTTCAACTAATGTAAAATAAAAAATATTCCAAAAATCATTAAAACCTTGCAATATTTGAACTTGTGACAACTTTTCTTCAAGGACACTCAAGCCAACTATCAACAGCACTCGAGATATCTATTTGCTGACAAGTTCTGGAACTACCAGAATATGATCCAAGTTCTAAAAAACATAAAACAAATGGTCAAGAGTGAAACTTTGGCAGCTCCGTGCCTCTTCATTTCAACTTACCATTAGAGTAGGGGAGAGTGTTTGCTTTAGAATAGGTTAGATGGAGAAACGAAACCTCTACAATTCCACTGACCATGAGAGCCTGAAAACTTTCCAAGGATATCATAACAGGTGTGGGGAGGAAGATGTCTCCATTAACAAAGTGAGCCCAACCACATAGTTTTGTAGCGAAACACGGGTATCAAGCTAGTTATAGATACAGGGATAGTATTTAGTCTTAAATGAAAATAGATTAATATGTATTCTTTGTTTAGCTTTTCCAGGGTTTCTAACCTTAACCTTTTCTGTTCCATTTGCTTGATACAATTAAGTGTAATTAGTCAAGGACTGTAAAACTCAGCAGGTCTTTTTAAAATGCAAGCACACGCTAGATGCTCATTGATTATTTTGCGCTATAATAGGACAAGAAGACCACAGAAATATTGTTTAAAAGTGCACTTTTCAGTCATAAGCTAAGAAATAAATATTACTCTCACCAGGCCCAGAGCGAGAACATTTATCCCACCATAAGTGTTTTATGATCAATAAATATAATCATCTCACTCACCTGTACATTTTCTTCTGTAATTGTAATTTCACCTGTGTAAATGTATTCAATAAGCTTCTTAAGGATCCAACCATCAACTTCTTTGATTCGAACATTCTTTGCTTGACTTTCACTCATTTCACCTGCAAAACATTTAATTCAGACATTGGCAACATGCTGCAAAGAGATCTTATTTGGAAGCAAAAAAAAAAAAAAAAGAAGTAATTCCATGTAATAAAACAGGAAATGTCAATATAATAATTCCCAAGGGTACCAAAGTACCAGCCAAGAAGTACTGAATGCCTTTCAGAATGTTGAAATCTTTCATAATTTCTAAATTTGTATAACCATAATTCAAAAGGAATTTCCGTTCTTAAGAAAGATAAAGAAGCTGATTCTCAAGCATTATTCTTGAAATTAAAATGCTAAATAAATCTGGAATTAAAAAGCAGTAATCAAACTGAATTTACCTCCTGTTCAAATTACATAAATATTTTGAAAGAATGAGTACATATATGTTTCACTATTGTTCATAACTTGATTGCTTGGAAGCTTAAGCACTGAGTGGGACCTACATATTTATTTTATATTATTTTTATTAATTTATCAATCAGTTGTTCATATGGCACATCATACATGGACTAGCACTGTTGCCATGTGTTTTGAAAGTCAGGAAAATCTAGAGTTGTCTGGCTGCCAGCAGCTGCTCGTTATGATAAATGATATGATTCCATACAGTATATCGAAAAACAGAGTTTAAAGAATAGTAGGATGTACGTTAATTTAGTCAATTTATTTTATATATAGTGATTTTTTTAAAAAAAAAATCAAAATAAATTGTAACCATTAATCAAGAGGATTAATAGTATCAGCATTTTTATTTATTGTAATACAAAACAATTTCATCTCTTTGCAAATGTAAAAAAGACACCTTTTCAATTTGTGGAGATTGGAATAGGACTATCTGCAGTGCAAGAATGAATGTTTATACAAAAGAGAATTTAAAGCAAATCTCAGCACTGAGGAGCGTTGCAGGTGTATATCCAAAATCTATCGGTTAACAATGGAAAATGCTTGCAACATTCAATGTGTTAGAATAGCAACTTGAACTTTGAGCGATACTAAGGAAAACAAATCCTTCTCTAGTTGTCAGGGTTCCAACTGATGTCCTTACTTAAATCATGAGCCTCAGCCCAAGCTTCAAAAGAAAGCCAGTTATTTATTACGAGCTTCATGTCGGCACGGACCAAGTAGAGCCAACTCTGACCTCACTTAATTCATGCTTTGATTCTGATCCTGTTTCCTCCTCCCCCGGCCTCAAGGGGTGTCATCAGTCACATTCCCCAACAAAGCAATTTCGTGGGTTGTAGAAATCACTCCCTCCGGCCACCGTGGTTTCCTGTGGAGATGACCTCGACATTGCCAGCGGGAATGTGCCTCGCTGTGACTGAAATGCAAGCTCCTTGATGCAGCTGCAAGGTTCGACTCCCCGTCCCCCTTACCTACGGCAACTCGAGAGCAAGTCAGGGAATGCTTCATGAGTTGACACTCTAGCTTTATAACATCAGAAGTTGGCTAATTCCCAAACTAAGCAGATCTGATATCTCACTTTTTTTCTGATATTTTTTTTTTCTGACCTGAGCACTAGTTTCCATATTTCTCCTTAAGTGACAACTGCCAACACTTTACCTGGAAGACTACTATGATATCAAAACCTATTGTCTTATTACAATGAAAGGTGGAACAGAGGGGAACATAAAACTGCTATGGTACTGAGGCAATTTTATCCTTCTCTTTTACTGCCGTTTTAAATAATATATTCACTTGCACTTAAACTATTTTATTGTATTTTTCATTTTGTGCGTGTGTATTAAAATAGTTTAAAAGCAAGTGAATATATTATTTAAAACAGCAGTGAAAAAGACGGATAAAATTGCATCAGTACCGTAGCACTTTGAACTCACACACACACACGAACACACATACACGAAGAAGCTGTTATGAGGGTTCAAAGTGAAGCAGATAATTAACCACCTGTCATTATAACCAGTCACTTTTAATTTTACACATCTCAGAAAGCAAAAATTACCTATCCTTAATGAGAATCTAAAATGTAACATTTTTATCTAAACATCTTTTAGGAAATGCTGCAGGCAAAATTAATTACTGTTTGAAATCGAAGAATTGCGTTTTAAAAAGGGCACCTGGTTCAGGAGATGCTATTACTCATAAGATGAATGAAAGAATGTTTTTTTGAATCTTGGGAGAAGATGGTAGACCAGGGGTCTCCAACCTTGGCCACTTTAAGCCTGGAGGACTTCAACTCCCAGAATTCAGGCTTAAAGTGGCCAAGGTTGGACACCCGCGTGGTAGACTGAAGGCAGCTCCGTGGAAAACCAGAGCCAATGTTTGTGGACATTTTAACGTTGCTCCTCATGAAAAAAAAACTATAAGGTAGCAGTTTCTGGAAGAGGGGATGATTGTGAGATTGGGAATTTGCCATAATTATGGTACTCTAGCTGCAAACAGCTTTTTTCAACATCAAGTTTGTTCACTGCCTTTGATAATTACCTCTGAAAATTGTCTATTAAAAGCTTCAAAGAAGTTAAGGGTGACAAAGCTGGGTGAATGCCTTCAAACCTTAATATAAGAATATGAAGATCTATTTTTATCATCCTTAAGTTCTTTTAAAAAACAAAGAGCAAAACACAAAACAACATAGAAATAATGGCTCATAAAATGTTGAAATATTAAGGCTTCAAAATTATTTTTAAAGAATGCATGTTTGGCGGGGGGGGGGAATATTCTTTTTGAGATTCAAGACAAGAGAAACTTGTTATGGTATTTGGAGACATCTTTGAAGAATTGAGATCTGTATCAGCAATGTGGCTATATCAGCTATGTTTTGTCTTCTCAAAAACAATCTGTTACCAGAAGAAAATGTTACAGAACAAGATATGCAGCAAAATCTATCCAAGAAAAATATGACTGTGCCATGAGATATAAAGCAAAAAAGACAAACTGTATGGGACTTTAAAAATTAAGAAAAAGATAAAAATGATAATTCCAGAGAGCAATTGGAATAATTTCATTTTGTTGGATTCTTGAGAGAGACTGATTAAAGTACTGAAGAAATTTACAATAAGAATAATCATCTGAATGCAATAAGGACTACAAAGTTGGTTTATTTGACCAGGGATAAAATGGAATACATACATACACACACATCAATTTATATACATGGGACATGGTGGCTCAGTGGCTAAGACACTGAGCTTGTCAATCAGAAGGTCGGCAGTTCGGTGGTTCGAATTCCTAGCGCCGTGTAACGGAGTGAGCTCCCGTTACTTGTCCCAGCTCCTGCCAACCTAGCAGTTCGAAAGCATGTAAAAAATGCCAGTACAAAACTAGGGACCACTTTGGTGGGAGGGTAACAGTGCTAATACCATTATTACAGATGAAAAAATGTTTTTTTCAATGCACTGAATGTGGTTAAGCTGACTGAACTAACAATTCCTTGGAAACCAATTTATATACCTATCCTGGATACACAGGACAATTGGTGTAGAGCATGAACTTTCCAAAATTCAATTGGCATAGAAAGAATCATGGCAAAACACATTATCCAATCATCTGAAATTGGGCCAAAAAAGCACTCCAACATAAAATGTAAATCCATGTTAAATTTTCAGTTCTATAGTTTCTCAATCTGCCCTTCTCCTTTCTATATATACATATTCTGTTGCAATATTTCAGCTCAGCAGTTTACAAAATACATTTTACCAACTAATGGTGATACCAAGGATAACAGTACTAGCAAGAATATAGCTCCCAGAGTGCAGCTTTTACTTCTAGGAATCAGCTTCAAGAACAAAGTTTATTTATTAAAGTATTTTAAATACATTGTGCCAATTTACATACAGCACAATAACATCCTGAAGAAACACCAATTATACTTATGCCTTTCATAATAGACTGAAATAGTTCAACTGCAAGAGACAAGAAGAAGAAAAAAAACAGGTACCTGCAAACATTGCATAAAAATATGGACTGCAAGCTGCTAATACAACTCGATGAGCTGCAATTTCCACGTCTTCGGCTACTATTGTCACATCACATAATAGGTTTTGACTATTAAGAAAAACAGAACAAAAATAACCTTTTAGACCACAGAAAAGATAATCATTGCCTGGTTAGCTAGCTAGTGTGCATATTCACCAAATTCAGTAAAATAAGCAGCTGATAACCAATATTGAGGTTATCATTCTCCTTGCTAGTTTATCTTTTTTTTAACTAAGACTTTGCAATTATTTCAAATGAAAATGATCACATTTGTAAAGGCAAAGTTTGAGCGCTATCAAAATTCACTTCAGGCTTTGAACCCCACTTTTTCTGTGCAATCTCCACTAGATTTAGGAACTCATGATAGAAAGATTAAAATTTAACAGTTAAAGCAGGAACGTTATTTCTTGCTCAGTCTTACTTATCCCTGATAAAAATAATTTCTTTTAATCATAGGAGTAGCAATAGCACTTAGACGTAACAGCCCTCTCTAAGCGGTGTACAGAGTCAGCCTCTTGCCCCCAACAATCTGGGTCCTCATTTTACAGACCTCAGAAGGATGGAAGGCTGAGACAACCTTGAGCCAGTGAGATCCAAACTGCCAAACTACTGACGGTGGTGATCAGCAGAAGTAGCCCGCAGTACTGCATTCTAATCATTGCTCCACCACGGCTCATGAATAAATTTTTATCAACAGTAGTAGAAAGCTTGAGAACCTTGCTTCTGTATACTGCTGCTCTGGGATAACCAATAGGCCAGTCCTGTGACAAGAGCTCTAGGATATGGGACCAGCCAGGCAGCTCGTGGTGCAGCTGGAAAACTCCGCCAACGTGCAAACGGCAACTTTTGCAGGTGGTGAACGTGCAAGGATTAGCGCAGCCCTCACCAGCTGGAACAAGGTAACGGCGCTGTTGCGGCAAGGAGGGGTGGCAACGCAGGCAGGCCGAAGCAATGGGTGTTGGCAACCCACCTCTCTTTCGTCCCCCTGCTGTTGCATCCTGTCAGCTGAACCCACCACTGCCTGGCCCCACCCCTCACCCAACCGTCCCACTCACTCCTCCCCTGGCCTGAGAAGGGAAGGGGAGGGGATGAAGATTCGCTCCGTATACCAGAACGGGAGTGAAGCTTCATGTCTTGCTGGGTCTCGCGGGCATTTCTTCCGGCCCTTGTTGGTGCAGTGCGCACTTGGCCACTAGGGGAGACGTGCAACTTCCTCTCCGCCCAAGACACTGGCCTGGCCTGGCCTGCCCGTTCCTCTGCGCTGCTGCTGTTGGCACCTCCATGGCCTGCCCGCTGCTCTTGCAGCGCCTTGCGCAGCGCAATTAAATAAACACTTCACAATGGGGGAGACAGAGTCCCCTCTTCCTCCTGGAGCCCATTACAACATGGAGCATTGGCTGCAGCTGGGTCAGGCAAGTGTCTCGGGTGGAGAGGAGGTCGTGTGTCTCTCTGAGGGACTGAGATGCATCCAGCACCAACAAAGGCCAAAGAAGCACCCGTGAGATCCAGAGTGCGCCATAAAATGAGAGAGAGAGAGAGAGGAGAGAAAGATACAGAGAGAAGGGTGAAGAGAGATGAGAAACAGAGAGAGAGAAAGAGAAAAAAAGACAGAAACAAAGAGAGGGGGAGAGAAAGATGTGTGTGAGAGAGAGATACAGAGAGAGAGATCCCAGTGTTTTGTTTTCTGTGCAAATGTTCAGATGGCTCTTTGAGTGTTTAAGGTTGCAAAAACAGGTGGCCAAGCTGTGCTTGAAGGACCCCATCCCATCACCGGGAGGTGCAGGTGCTTCAGCAAGTGGCGCGCTGGATTCATATTAGTGGTCCATGGGATTTAAAATTATGGATGTAGTAGTCCCTGAGGTCCAAAAGATTGGTGACTCCTTATATAAAGGGCACAGTTTTCTCCAGCCTGTCATGCTACTACGGGTAATTCTGGACTTATGAGCCTTCAATTTTAATGGTGGTCTGGAATTTGGTCTGGAATTAGACCGGCAACAGAATGGGTGCTTGACGGCCTGCAAAGCACTTCCAGCCATCACAAAACATTGCACCATTATCCCCACAGTCACATGATCACAATCTGGGAAACCTGTCTGCACTTACAATCAGTTACCAAGTCCTCCACCATAACGCAATCATCATTTACAATCTTCTCTCAAAAAGTCAACAAGAGTCAGCAGAGATTTATTACAAAAGGGATGCCCACCAGCAGGGAATTTCAGGTGGAAGGGAATCTCACCTCCATGTGATCTGAGATCTGCACCCCAACCCCAGGAAGCCATTTGAGAGAGAGCAAAACGACTTCCTGCTGAAGGGGCAGGAACCACTCCAGCTGATGACGTCCATTCCTGCAACCCTTTGAAGGACTTCCCTTCCTCATTCTGAGTGGGGAGGGGAACTGCTCTGAAAAGCTGCAGACCTATCCTGAACATCTGAGCTCTGTTCCTGCAACCATTCCTTCCGCAAGGAGGGCAACTCTAGCCAAAGGACAGAGGTCAGATCTCAAAGATCTGAGCTCGGTTCCTGCCACTTTTCAGAGCTGTTTCCTTCCATACACAGAAAGGAACAGTACTCAGCAGGTAGCTCCTTTGCTTAATGACCCAATAGATCAATCAACAACCATAACCAGGTCGATTGTGGCGACTGAGTAAAGCAGTCACGTGGGCATCTTGCTTAACAACCACTTGTCTCAATGATGGAGGATCTGGTCCCAATTGCAGTTGTAAGTCAAGGACTACTTGTAATAGCAGAAGTTTTCAAGTGGTTAAAAAAAGGGACAGTATCCAAATAGGTGGTTTACAGTACAATTTCATAGAAAACGTTTACTTCTTGATAATATACACGTGCTCTTGAAACAATGCAGTGCAAGCCAATTTTCATTTTCAATTTGCAACAAAATGTTAGATTGTGAAATCATTTTGCTTCACATCATTTTTTTCTAATCGTGTTCATTGGGAAGTAACTCAAGGAATTAGGGTTATTGATACGATTAAATCTTGTTATGACTGAATAATAATCAAGAATGAAGCGCAAACAGCAAATAGCTAAATTTTACCTTGATCTCTAATTGTAAAAAGTATAAATGGATACTGCATTCACTATAACGAACAAATAAGACAGGTCCAGAAGAGAGTATCTCCTCACTGTATTGTAAATCGTTTTGTGGAAGTAAACCTCTTCAGGATTTTGTACACGTCTAGTTCACATTTATTAACTTTGATGAATAGAAGTTTAGAATAGAATAACAGAGTTGGAAGGGACCTTAGGGGTCTTCTAGTCCAACCCGCTGCCTAGGAAGGAAATCCTACACCACTTCAGACAAAGGGTTATCCAACATCTAAGTTCTTGGTATTATTTTTTTTCTTTCAAAGAAGTCATCAAAGACTACAATAAAAAAGAATAAAAGCTATATAAATTACAAAAATATAAAAATGCGGAAAAAAAGAAAAAAAAAAGAAGTTGCTTTCCTCTTCATTCCACCAAGTACCTAATTTAAATAAATTTATCACAATGACTTCTGTGGTTCACTTGCAAGGAACGGCTGCATGGAATCATGTGGGCTACTTCAAAGATCCAGAGAGAAGTTCAACAGCCAGAATTCTGCATCCCACTCTAATCTCCACTGCAACACCATCCTGATACAAAATTGATATCTACCTCTCAGTGGCTTTCAACCAGAAGTTGCAATGTTAATTGGAGCCACTGTTTTAACTTTTCAGAGAACCAAGTTGGAAGAATAAGCATAAATCCCATGTGGGTTTAACTAGTCAAGAACTAAGCACTCCAAGATCTTCATTCAATGCTCTAGTTCCCTCTAAATAGGCTGGGTTGCATTTTCAAAAATGTAGACCACAATGCCCAACACAGTCTTAGAACAAACACTGGACCGCAATTTTTAAACCATTTGCTTTTTGAAAAACTTTTTGTGATTATGATAGATAACACATGGGTGTATACTTTATGCTATACTGCTCATACTTAGCTTTCCCTTTGGAGATATCCATAGAGGAAAATCTGGTGGCCAGACCTCAACATATCAAAGCTACCAGCTTATCGATCATTAGAAAGGAACATTTAAAATAAATGGCATTAAAAATGACTATAGTTTCTTTAATCATATGCCAAAACAAGTGAAAGAGTGGGGGCATAGAAGATATGAGAGACCCAAAGCCTATATTGTTCAAGTTATGAGAACACAGGACAACGAAGAAAAAGTGGGGGACCTAACCCATAATAGCAGTACCTACAAAGCAGTGGACAGCAACACAATTAGGGGAGTACTGACCCAACAGTGGTCCAATAGTATTTTACCACTTTGTCCCTGAAGAGGAGACATCACCCTAAAATAAGAAAATCCCATCCTCAAAATCTAAGTCCCATCACTGCCTATCCACATATCTTATCCTCACAGGAATACTTTTAATAAGAAAGATAATTTGAATCAGCATTTGAAAACAGATTTGTTATTAAATAAAGAGCTGAAATTTCTGCCACCCAGAAAAGTTGTATTAGGCAGCTCAAGATTCCTCTTCAAAATCTTATTGACCAGCTCTGGAGAGAGAGAAAAAAAAAACAATTATATAAAACGCTATGGCCTGCCCAGCATCGTTTTTAAATATTGCCATTTCATTTTCAACATTGTATTCCAATAAGAGCAAAATCTGGAAAACTACTAAAGACACTGCCTGCTTTTCAAGAAAAATACCTTCTTAATTCATTCAAAACTTTAAAAGCTTTCTTCATGTGCCAAGGATTCACTCTAACAAAACAGTGTTCTTCAGTATTATCTTTCAAATCCAGAGGTTTCTGCTGGCATAATTTGGTACATCTGAAAAAGAAAAAAGATGTGTTAACCATGAGAGTTTGCAACCAATTAATGCTAAACTGATTAGTTTATATGCGTGTTTATTGTATACCAGGACTGTCAAATTCCCGGCCCACGGACCATATGTGTCAGGTGCTGGCCATGCCCACACCCAGTTTAGCAAAGGGGGGAAAAGTCCCAATACATCACGTGACAATGCCATAACAACATCCCTGCACTATATTATTGTTATATAGCCTTAGAAGCTGCTTTAGAGTCTTTGACTGAAGTGACACCAAAGCTTGTAATATCTACATACTTATTCACTTATAGTTCTGCAACTCAGCCAAGTGAAATGTGCTTTTCGCTTTGACTTGACTGTGCCTTTAAGCTTTGGGATGAACAATTCAACTCCCAAGTGAAATTCAAACTAGGAAAAAGCCCTAAATTTAAACATCCACCATCTAATTAAATCATTGGTAAGAGGCTGAAGTAACTACAATTAAAGAGACATTGAAACAGACTAAACTGAAATTAGTGCTAACAACATGAGGTAAATAAGGTGATGCCTCACTTGTCATTGCAAAGCTGATTATTAAAATATCTTATTTATCAAATGGGGCTGCTCTGTAACTGAAACTATTAATAAAAGAAACAACAACTTTCCCCAACTTGGTGTATTCTATGTATTCAACTGTATGTTTCAGAATAGTTGGTCCGCATGATCATTGGCTATTGGCACGATGGGAAGTACTGGAAATTTTAATTCAACATGCCTGAAAGTCATGGGCTTGGTGAAGATGTGATTAGAGCAAAAAGCAAAGAACAATATGATTCCCAAATTTAAAACATAAGACAAAAAACCTTACAAAGTAAACAATAACTTTGTATCTTATTAAAATACGAAGTTTCCCCATAGATTGGCCTTAAACTTCTTAAACAATTCCAGGAATTTTTTTTTTAAATGAAAACTAAAGCATAATTGGCAACCACTTCCCTATATCTCACTATTCTGGCCTGAATAAACAATTTAGTATTTACAGATGTTTCTTTTTAAAATAACCAGCATTTTACCCTGCTGATCCTATATTCAGAATGAGCAAGTTCCTTAAAATCAAACCAGAACTAATATTAGAAGACAGCGAGTACACATGTAACTGGTGGGCATGCGAAATGTGCAAGGGCTTTATACAATTAGTTATGGCATTGCCCTTTGCTGCGCCTCCAGTTTGATAATGCTGAGATACTGCACTAGATTGCCCAAGATGCAGAAAAGTTCTGTTCTTTCATAATTCTCCTGATTATCCTATACATAAAACATTGATATCATCATATATTACTACCTTTCACAGAAGACACTACCCCAAAAACAAACACCGGGACTGTTTTATCCCAGTTTAACATTTAATTTTAAATGTAATTTTCCTAACGCTTTCGGTTTTCCTGGGAACCAAACTTGGACAGCAAAAAAAAAATTTTTTAAATAAAAAATGAAGATCACAAAATATCTTTTCTTTGCTAGTAAACTGTAATTTACCAGTTCAGATAACTCATTAATGCCAACTTAATTCTACATTCAAGTGAGGAAGGAGTTTGTGCATCTCCTTTCTCTTCATGTCACTGAAATGACCAGAACAATCCCTAATTTTTTTCAAACTTAATGCCACTAAAGTACCTATTATTCTAGAGTCACTGGTCACATGCTCCATATCTTATTGGGGTTACAGTCTAAAGCAGGGGTGTCAAACTCAAGGTCCGCGAGCTGCCTCTGACCTGCGGGGGTACTTAAGATCTGGCTCGCGGGGTACTTAAGATCTGGCCCAAGGGGTTGCCCTGGAAACAGTGAAGGACTAGCGCACGGTGCCTCGGCCAGTGAAAATGGAGCTCCAGACAGCTGCACATGGCCTTTCCGAACTCCGTTTTCACTAGCGGAGGGCTGCAGGAGTCTGGTTGCAGCCTAAAACAGAGCCTGCTAGAGCCACACACAGGCTGCAGGATGTCAAGTTCACCACGCCCATCTTGGCCACGCCCACTCAGCCCCCCCCCCCCTCAAACACAACCCTGATGCTGCCCTCAATAAAATCAAGTTTGACACCTCTGATCTAAACTATTTGAGGTAAACCATCATGTTAGGGAAGGTTTTCCTGAACTTTCTTTACAAAATTGACGTCAGACCTGAAGGCAATAGAAAATGTAATTAGAATCGGAGAAAAAAAAAATCAGTTTTGGAAAGGACGCCGTGTAGCAAGAAAATCTAATATGGCTCTTTTATGATGCTCAATTTATCTGTCACAAAACTTATATAGCTAGCTGCCTAATAGAACAGTTACGTGCAACTGGAAGACAAATTTGGAAGACTGTAGTGACAGATCTATATGTTCCAAATTTGTTTCTTTTTTAAAGTACTGTACAATGACATTAATACATTGCCTTTAAAATGACACATCATAAAGAAGCAGAATTTACAACAATAAAATATTTAAAAACAGTTTCAGGTTCACTGAATTATTTAACACCTGGACAAATAAAGCAAATTAGGTCAGGTACTTAAATCTTAAGCATCTGAAAGAATTCCAAAGTTTAGGTGCTATCATGGAAAGCTCTTTTCTTTGTCATCCTCATCCAATACCTGTTGGGCACAGATAGCAGGAATGAGCTTACTTTGAAAAAAACTAAGTTAAAAGTAACATTACATGTGCACATAGAGCTCTTTAGTCATGAATCTCCACTTGTCCTGGAACTTTAAAACTGAAAAGTCTCAATGCAGAAATATTCACCTTCATTCTTCTAGTTAGAACAATGGAAACACATCAGGTGCTTTTGGCTTATTCACCCACTCTAATCATTATTGGACAAAGCCAAGAATGACAGTTATTCCCAAGGACAGACTAAAAAACTCCATTTCAGCTGTCCATTTTGAACACACCGCTAGTATGCAACTGTCACTGTTTGTTATTCAAATTGTGACTAGAATGAAAAAGTAATTTTTCTCCATGCAAAGGAAAGTAGCAAGCAAGGATTAATCTGCATTCGCTGGAGGCCCTTTTGTAAGGGAGTTTCAGTTGGCCCTCAAATAGTTAAAGATGGCTTAGCGCAAGGGTAACCAAAGTAAAGCCTACCTAAAAAAAAACGGCTCTTACTTAAAAAAAAAAAAATATGCTGACAACTTTGCTCGCAGCAATCCAAATCTTCAATGCAACCACAACTCGCCCTGAAGCTGTTTGGAAATTTCAAGGCCCTGTTTCGTATACAGCATATGAAATGCAAAAAGGAGTAATTAATCCCCGGGCTGTTTGTTCTGTGGTTTTCTAACTTCAAACCTAACCACAGACAAACCCTAAAGATAACGGGCCTTTCCAGGCAGAGGCAGGCCAAATTAGCCACCTTCCCAAAAATGAGCCGTTTTTAACCATGAGAACCCAAATTATTGGGGGGGGGGGGGGGGGGTGCAATATGCTGACTCTGTAAAAACCCCTTGGGGAGGAGTGTAAAGCACCGTCAAGCGGCATATAAGTCTAAAAGTCCTATTGCTATAGCTACCCTAAAATATGAAACGCCCTCTTGTATACGTTGCAGAATAGGGGTTGAGTAAATATTGGGGAGGTGGGTTCCAGAAACAAAGGCGATGTTGCAGTTTGGTAAAGAGGACCCAAGGCCTGTTCCGAGGTAGAAGGATTTCGTTTGCAAAGCGGCGGGGGGGGGTGTGTGTGCAATTTCTCTCCAGCAACGTGTTTTAGGGGGAGCGAGATTAAGGAGCCGCCTTCACTTTATCCTCTTCCCTTATTGGGGAGTTCGTCGGGATGCTCTGCCGGATTCCCAACTCCCATCACTTTCCAGCCGGCCTGGAGGGGCCCCGATGGGCGTCGAAGCCGCCAAACACGCATCCCGGGAGGGGGAATCCAAGCGGGGGCCCCCCCCGCGGAGACTCACCCCAACGCTTGGAGCAGCAGCAGCGGCGGCGGCGTTTCCATCGTGGCTTCTCCGCTCGGGCTTCCCCCTCCGAAAAAAGCCAAGGACCCAACGCCAACACCATGCCAGCCGTCTGAACGCCGGCAAGAAAGCCCAGGGAGGCCGGCAAGACTTTCCGGGATTAAATCGGCCCGGATTCTCCGGAGGGCGCAGCCTCCGATCGGTTCCCTTCCTCCTCTTCTTCCTCTTCCTCCTCCTCCGTTAGCTAGCACACCTACTCACGCCCCGCGCTCGCTCTCTCTCTCTCTCTCTCCTCCAGCCTTGCCAAACCTCCAACTTCCGGGCTCCGGACGGGCTTTAAACCCCATTTATCCTCTTCGCCAAAGAAAGGTGACGTCAAACACGTAACTGGGGGTTGGGGGGGGGGTCGGATTCCGACGTCTTCCCCCTCCTCCTCCTCCTCCTCCTCCTCTGCCTGTCTTAAGGGGCACGCGAGAAACAAGGGCTTGCGAGAGAAGCGTCTGGCGTTGGGCTGGATACGGGCACGGCGAACGTGGGAACCCTGTTTGGTGGGGGGGGGAACTAAGCGTGGTTTCTCGTTGCCGTTTTGAAAACGATGGTGGGAAGGATGCCTTTCTCTTTCCCCCCGAGCGCCAATGGCTTTCTTCGTTAGCAGGTCCCTTTTAAGTCACTTCTAGCGTTTTTACAACGAGCGGAGGAGATGGAGGTCCTGGAATGAGGGCCCAGCCGAGGCCGGTGGGGTTAGTTTAATCGCTGGAACGGCGTCTAGGGAAAACCAGGTTCAAGTTCACGCGAAAGCTCGTTGGTTAAATTCGGGCCATTTACTCTCTCCCTTAAACCTGCTGTATCTCGCAGGGTTGTTTTATAAACTTACTTGAACTTAACAGGCTTCGGCCATAAGGGGTGTAACGCCTGCATGCAAAAAGTGTAGGCCCTCCTTGTCAACCTGGATGCGTGTCTGTGAATCCCTGTGGTAACAGGCCATTGTGCCTAGCAGTGGGCCTGAGGTTCTTCTCCACCCATTTTCTTCATAGGTACTTTGGAAAAATGGTTTTTCTATTAGTATATAATGTAGCACACACAAAGGAACAACCAAAGCGAACAAGGGGTAAAAATGAATTGGTTTTCATATTTGCAAAATACAATCTAGGTTTGATCAAGACTCTGAGGCAGAAGGTATTTACGACAAGTTGACTGATTTAGATAAAATTTTGATGGGCATTGGTAAAAAGGTAATTTAAAAACTTTACGGACATCTATTGGAATTTAAATTGGAGGAGGAACAAGTTAAAGAAACGATAATTGCTTGGGGGAAAATTTTGGATATGGGATTGATTTAGAAAAATGGCAAAAATTGTGGTCTCAAAATTATAAAATGACAGTGTCAACAGCATATAAAGAAAATTTGCATCAGATGTTTTACAGGTGCACTTACCCCACGAGACTTGCGAGAATGTTGAAGAATAAATCGGATAAATGCTGGAAATGTCATCAGATACCTGGTTCATATTACCATATGTGGTGGACATTTTGGATGCAAAGAAATATTGGACTAAAATCCACACATGGTTGGAAAAAAAATGATAAAACAACATATAGACTTTAAACCACAGATCTTTCTTCCAGTTCCACATTTCCTGTACTTTGACCATTTGTTTTTCACAATAGCACTGCAGCAACGTTTGTTATATAATTTACCTGGGATAGTTTGATTTATTTTTTATTCCCGTAGAACAAAGGGCAAATGCAAGTCGCATTGAAGCTTATTCTGTATTAAAGCTGAAAGAAGATCCAGCTGTTGATGTGCCCAGGAGCAAAAAAAAAAAAAAAAGGTTGATTACTAGTTATACCAATGTGGTACAGCAGCTGGTTGCTAGAGGGACCACTGTATTCTGCCAGAGTATCTGCCCAGCCAATTCAGTCTATCAGGATTGGCATGCTCTGGCACCTTTAATTAAAAAGTGCCATCTATCAGGACCTCAGTAGTACATCTTCTCTGTAGTGGTATCTGGAATGTCGCCTCTCCCCTCCAATATTCAAACAGCCTCCATTCGGGTGTTTTAAAAGGCCCTGAGGACCCAACTCTTCATCCAGCCTTTCGAGAAATATGATTGAAGCCCCCTTTTTTTCTTTTTCCCCCATCTGGATTTGTTATCTGTGGCATCTTTGTTTCCTTTGTACTGTTTTCTTGTTTTAAAATGTTTTTAACTATTTGTAAACCAGTCGGGGTCAGGTACTATACACACTAGCAGGCCTGTTAAACTGGCGGCCCCTGGGCTGGATGCATCACGCACAAGCCACGCCCACCCTGGCTCTGTAAAGGCAAAAAGCTAGTTGCAATACGTCAGGATATGTCACATGATGCAATCAAGTTTGACATCCATGCACTAGAGCGAGGTGCTATATACATTTAATAAATTATTCCTATAACAAAAGCAGCAATTGAAAAGAGAGAAAACTACCAACTGATTTCAATGCATTTCGCTAATAGTTTGTCTGGTTTTGGCTTAATATGAACCTAGTTACTGTGATGTTAAAATAATGGTTTATAGTTAAGGGCATTATGGTTGCCTTTCATGAATTGTTACCTTGTAACCTGTGATTCCAACGAGACCATGAACTATATCATTGAAAGAATACCATTCCAAAAGATGGACATTTTGTGGTGTCAAATAAGTGATTAGCTATTTCCCATTAAACCAAAATTCAGTAAGAAACAAGATCAAAAGCAATGGGGAGATTCAGCTGTAAGTCACTGATAAATAAGGGACAAAGTACAGGGACCCGGCTTCCAAGATTCTGAAGCTTGACTAGCATGTTTATGACACTGACAACACATCAAAACAGATATCATACTAATTATAGAATGCGGGAAACTTAAAGCTAGTAACAGCATTTGGAATAATGGGGGAAGTTCTTAGTGTAAGAAATGAAGCAGGGCAAAAGGTTAATAGAATTCTGAAAAGGAAATTAAATGTTAATAGGAAATATCTTTTTCCAATAACATACAAAACAGCTATAAACATTGAGATCAAAAGATAGGCAACAAGGAAATCAAATTGAGTATGTATTTTACAACAAAGATGGAAAAGCTCATCAGTTCAGTCACCAAAAATAAAACCAGATGCTGAATGCAGATTTTTACCTAAATAAAATACTTTTAAAAATCAGACTAATAAGAAATGACCTCATCAATTTATTCCATATGGTTATGCAACAGAAGTAAAGAATATATTACGTGAATAGTTTGTTAAAGTGTTTAAAAAGCTCTAAACTGAAATATATTAACACCATTAGAGATGTAACCAACAAAAATATCCTAAAATTCATCAACAGAAGGTGAAATAGTTGTCTGCCTGCACAAAAATAGCTGAAGAAAAGTAGAAAGCAAAAGGTAACAAAGGAAAATTTGCTCAATGAAGAACTGAGTTGCAAAGAAGAGAAAGATATAAGTAATGCCAATACACTGAGAACAGTAGTTTATTTGGAAAGACAAAAAGTTCAAGTAAGAGAGTGCAATGTGTTGGTACCCCGACCACCAATCAGGAGCCAATAGGTTATTTAGAATTCAAAGGCAATAGTCTCAGATCAGACTGAAACGATAAAAAGGATTATATTGAATAAATATTGAAACAATTAGTGAAGAAAGATAGGGCAATCCACATCCCTTCAGTATGCTAGGAACCCTCCTGGGATTTTCAGTTTATGCTGAGATTCAAACTTTCTGGGACTTTCATCATCTTTTTATATTTTGCTATGGTGGCGATAAAAAAAGAAGAAAGAAATGTCTTCCATCTGAAAGAAAGATATAGCAGATCTAGGCAAACTATTCAACATGAGAGACATCAAATTGACTATATAAGTATTAAATGAAGTAACACTATTCATGGAAAGCATTAAAAAGAAACTAATGCTTAAACATTTTGGACATACTGTATAATTCAATCACTGTGTCTTAAAACAATTGTCCTTGGAACTGACAGGAAAGAAACAATATTAGGTTTAATCTCCAACTGTGCTTGTGAAGTGGTATGAAATATGTTTATAACTGACAGAAAAGAGTGGTTGCAATACTACTGTTCCACTTTACATACATGTTTATTTATTGAATTTATATTGCTGCCTATTTGCCCATGGTGACTTGAGGTGGCTTACAGAATGTAAAACCATATTAAAAAATAAATAAAAAACTAACAAAAAGAAATAAATTAATAAAGTACAAGAGAACAAAATCTGGAAATAAAATTCCCCCCAACTCCCCCGCTCCGACACCAGCAGATCACATGAGCCATTTGATGGGCTCCATCCCGCAATGGGCTCCCCAGGCCCGCTGGCAGAACCAGGTCTTCAGTGCCTTCTGGAAGAGTATTAGAGAGGGGGCTATTCTAATCTCGGGGAGAATGATGTTCCAGAGAGAGGGAGCCACCACAGAGAAGGCCCTTCTTCTGGGTCCCAACAGGTGTATCTCCCTCAGGGATGGGACCCGCAGCATTCCCTGCATCCCCGGTCTAATGGGTCGGGTAGATGTTGATCAGCAAGAGATGTTTCCTCAGATAACCTAGACCCAAGCCATGAAGGGCTTTAAAGGTGACAACCAGCACCCTGAATTGCCCCCGGAAGCAAATTGGCAACCAACGCAGCTCCCGCAGGAGTGGTGAAATGTGCACACCGGGAGCTGCCCAAAACCATGCGGGCCGCTGCATTTTGCATCAACTGGAGCTTCTGGATGTTCTTCAAGGGCAGCCCCATGTAGAGCGCGTTGCAATAATCAAGACGGGAAGTCAGTACGGCATGAATGACTGAGTAGGGACCGTTGGTCCAGGAAAGGGCGTAATTGGTACACAACCCGCAGTTGCGCAAAGGCCTTCCTGGCCACGACCACCTGCAGTGAAAGGTCATAAAAGGGGACAAAATTCACATACAACTGTCTCACTTAGCAACAGAATTTTGGGGCTTAATTGTGGTTATAAGTTGAGGACCATCTGTATAATGTATTTTTGCTCTTTTTTAAAAATTTGTGCAATTTTTGTTTTAACATTTTTAGTTTAAAAATTGTTTGCATCCCATCTTCTTTATACTGATTTATAACCATGACTGATTAATACTCATAACTA